AGTCGGTATGATTTCAACATCTTCGAGTGAATTAATGTGGTTTTATCGTATCTGTACCATGTTTCCGGACACAGTAAACACATGCAGTTAAGGCATCGTCCGAAAAATTAAATTAAATCAACCGATCAATAAACGTGTTCACCGAAAAATTCAACAAAATAACCGTACTACGGTTTTACTGAAAATGATTGTTGGTGCAAAATTACGGTACTTAGTTATAATAATATTGGATTGTTGTAATTTAATAAATCTTGATATGTCGGAGAGGATTCTGTAAAAGTTTCTAATATTAGTTTTAGCGTACTCAAAGTCTTTCGTTTTCTTTTGTAGATCTCTGTTCAAGAGGACTTCTGAGTCTATGAAGATATTATGAGACTATTGAGTATCCAAATATCACGTTTAATACAGTAACAGAAGAATAGTAAAATCAATGATTGATATTTTAGGATAATTATAGTTATATTATTCGCCTTTTACTATTGAGTATCCAAATATCACATTTACTATTATAGTGGTTTACATATATTCTTTTGCGTGTATATTATAAATATTTTAACTAGATTCATTGCATCTAGCAAAAATCAAACTATTTTGTATTTTTCATGTCAACTGTTCATTGTGAATTGTGGCACCACTCTTCCTTATTTTATTTAATAATTTAAAATTTATACGCATTTCAATGTTTTCCTCTTGGCCTTATTTATTCCGATTCAGTCTGTTTTCCTTACAACAATCATCTTGTCTCCAAGGATGCAACAGTGACTAGTGTAAAGAGTTTATTTGTATGGAAATAGAAAATGAAAATGCTAATAATTTTTATCTCAAAGCTGTGAATGAATTTTAGAAATGAGAAATAATCTTCATATTTTATTGCTTTGTTTTTGAAAACTAAAAACTAAAACTTCAAAAAAACTTTCTTTCCCTCTATATGTTTGTTTGCTTCATTCTTTCTAACTGCCCAAACTTCATTCAAACAGTTCACCAAACTTAACAAAAGGCCCAACTCGTTTAAGAAAATCAGCAACACAAATTCTTTTCTAATCACAGCCGTTTCTTCCTGCACCTCTCTTTTTTCTTCTAGCACTCCAAAAAAATTTATATATTCTAAATTACCTTTTTTAAAATTATAATAGAAAAGGTAAAATTTATTCTTTTATCTCTTCCTTCTTCATCTCACAATCCCTCACCTATGTTGAAACCTTTGGAACGTTTGCCCCCATCCCTTTGGCAGCTATCGGCCAATTGAATAGTGACATAAGGTTGCCGATAGCTGGGCCTTGTTGAGTTTATAAGGAGACTTTTGCTCCATGCACCTGTGCAGTTACTATCTGCAAGCTATACTATACATTTGTTAAAAAAAGAAAAATGCAAGGCCCAAAGATTGAGTCTTCTATGCTGGGTCTTGAGTCCTATTTGGAAACAGCTGTCAACTACTAGTTTTAATCTTTGTAAAGTTTTCATCTCCAATGAATGAAGATATCATTTTTTTTTTGTTCTATTTCTACCCAACTCCATACCATAAAAAGAGGGAAAATAACAAAATTTTATTCTACCTCTCAAATTATTCTCATTATATACACCAATTAATGATTATTTATGTATTATTTTGTGGTTAAAAGATGGAAATCATTTTTAAAAAAATAAATTAGGTCCTTTATTTTTATTATTATAACACGATTATAAAATGTAAATAATCACCTCTAGAATAACATAATGAGAGAATCCCAAATCATATCTCCAACCCATTAACCTATTTTTTTTCACAAATATTTTTTTCTTAACATAAATTTTGTGAAGGTTTACCATCAGTGTAATCTACACTAAGAGCTTTACCAAAACCCCATATTCAATTTCTCTTAACGGTAAGTTCAAAGTTTGCTCATTCTCTATATATAATACGGTAAGTTCAAAGTTTGGTCATTCTCTTAACGGTAAGTTCAATGACTCGAGAAAGGTTGTCTTACGATGTGAAATTAGCACTGTTATTTGTAATTTGAAATATTTTAAAACTCTTATGTGAAAACATATTATCTACAATTGTACTCTATGGATACTCTTCATTGAATCAGACAACAAATAATTAACAATTCAGTAACCAATCGGTAAAGATAGTCGTTGATGTAGTTAAAGGATAATCAATAATAATAACAACTATTTGTAGATCCGTCAATTTGACCCCCTTACATAATTTGGCCCTAACCCATGTGGGTTGGGGCCAGAAAAATCCATAAATCCAAAAAGTTTTTCACAGAAAAAGTCTACAGGACCAAAAAGCTCAGTGGGTTAGGACTAACCCATGGACTTTTTTTAGAAAAAATGTTCATTTTGAATAAAAGGAATATAATTAACATTTAATTTGTTACAAAAATAGTTATTATAAAAAATAAATTAAAATTTTTATAGAAGCAAAAACAAAGTGACAATATTTATTAAGTTTGATTCTCTCCTAAAGGATTATTTTATAAATTTGAAATTCAAATATTTAATTTAGCTTGTTTTATAGGTTATAAATTAGAAATTAACTTTCTGTCTAAAATTATTCTAATTGAAACTTAAGAGGAGATTTTCTATAGTTGAGACTCTTAATTTAAAAAAAAAAAATAGGCTTCTTTATTTTCTTAGAAAACTATTGGAAAAGAAATTATATATAAATGATTTTCTTTTTCATTTTACACTCAAAAAATCATGCTCATAACATAAATAATAAGTAAAAAGAAAAAACTCATAAACTTTGTGCAGCTGCAGTTGTATTGGCCCATAAGATTCAATCTTGTCTTACTATTCACCCAAAATGTTTACATTTTAAATGTCATAAACATAAACATACATTTATGTTATGTATTCCAATTGAAAGTTAAAAATAAATTATTTAATGTGTGTTAGTTAAAGACTAGAAACACTATAACATTTGTCATTCTTTAGTATTTTAGGTCTATTTAAAATTTTCATTTTCTTTTTATAAATTTTAAGAAATTAACTTTCTTTTTATAATCTATCTTATGGTGATTTTGAGAGAAGATTATCATAGAGAAAAAAACAAAATAAAACATAAGTTTAATTTACACATAAAATATTAATACTATTTTTGATCCAAAAATTTTAGATAATAAAATTTTGAATTATTTTTAATTTTAAATAATTAAAAACAGATTGAGTGATATTTTAGAAGTCGAGGAAACAAAACAATGATTTTTTAAAGAATTGTAAAAACAGTGCAAATATTAAATCAATTTAACATGTTATTATCCCTCTTTATTTTTCATTGGGTTATTTTGATATTACTAATTATATATAATTTTCTAATAATTGGTGTCTGCAATATAAGCCATAATTGTATTAAAATTGACAACAAAATAAAGCATTTTTATAATATATTAGTAAAATAAATGTGTAATACTATTTAGTTGTATAAAATTAAGTGTGTGGTTTGAAATTGTTTTTAATTATTTAAAAAGTGGTTATTTTGAATATTAAATATTCTATTATTCTATAATTAATTAGTTGTATTTAATAATTTGAAATAAGAAATCATTTATATGAGTATAAAATTTAATATTTTTAATAGTTACAGTGAGAATTTTGGAGTTTTGTTTTCAAAAGTTTTTTTATTAGGTTAAACACACCTTAAGAGTGATCCTAACTCACTTGAAAGGGAGCTTTGGGAGTTGGAGCTTTTTGTTGGCCCCTATTTGAGGGCTTCCTAAGAGGAGGTTTTTTCAATAGTGGGTTAGGACTAGTCCTGGGATCATGGTCAAATTGACAGCTCTAACCACTAGTGATGCGTCAGATATAAGGATAAACTCGTTTTAATATATATAAATATATGTTTGACAGGAAGGTCAGATAACGAATTTTGAGTACTTATTTTTATTAAACATTACGTAAGGTCACTTACTTGAGCATCAAAATGTTTTTGACAGGTACTCTCACACGACCTGGACAAAAAGGAGAGGGAGCAAACAACGCAATGGAGGGACCATCAAGAAGCTCATCCGATCTATAGGACAACTTGAAACCTCTTGAATAAGTTTATCCGAAACAACCATATTGTATGGATGCTAAATATAATGTGATTTACATATTTCGTTTCTTTAGAAATACATACAATCCAATAACAAATACTTTTGAAGAGTTTAAGAACAAAGTTTGAGTTTTAAAAAATTACTATGATAGTAGGTATAATAAAATAATTAAAAGCTTAATAGAATAATAAAATTGTTCAAACTTAAAAAGACGAGACGAGTCCTGGTACATATATTAACAAAGAAATTTAAATGAATTTATTTAAGTTTATCAAAAGTAAAGCATCTTAACAATTTTATAAGTCCATAGTCGATCACATTAAAGAAGAAAGAAATTCTATTTCGTTCAAGTTGTTGTCATCAACACGATAGTTTCTTGTTTTAGAATTTAGCGTTAAGAATTTGCAGGGGGAAAAGCTCTCTTTAACCACTTAAACAGTGTACTGTTTAATGTTTGTTAAAAATGTGACTGATAATATTTTAATGGCAAGTAAAATAATTTTATTTTGTTTAGAGAAATAAAAGAATGAAATTCGGTGAGTCATGTTTTCGTGTGGAGGTTGATAAATTTATACATTGTTACAATTTATTTTTTATATAACCTTTTCCAGAATATATTTTCTCGTCTACACAAACTTAAAGATTGTCATCATATTTAAATTTAATTTCTGAAATATATTGATCTATGTAAGTATACTTTTGTTATTTGTTTAAAACTAAAATGTAAATTAAATAAAGTTATTTGATTCATTATAAATTAAATTTGACAATTCATTCAATGATTTTTAAATAAGGCATCAAAATTCATATCGTGAAATTCTTACCTAAAACATTAAAAATGAGAAATAGTTTGAAATTAATTGGTAATGAAATCTGTCCTATTTTGTTAGAAAAACTCTATTTAAAAATTTAACTTAAACATAGTTAATGATTAACTGAGAGTCATACATATATGAACATTAAACACTAACTAACCTATAAAAAACATTATCATCTTATTATATTATATAATAATGTATGATATAATAAAACAAACTACTAGCACTTAAGCGGAACCGTGCACGGTGGCGCGTTGGGCGCGTGTTCGAAGCCACTCTAACATATCCCCAAAAACCAGCTCCACGTTCTCTTCAGGTTCCCCAATCATCTGGTGCCACATTTCCGGATATATCTTCAGCGTCTTATCCTTACTCGCAGCACGTGCGTACAACTCCTCCACGCACGCGGGGTCGCACACTACATCGTCGCCGCCATGCGCCACCAGTAACGGCACCTCCACCTCCTCGTACCTTCCCTGCAGCTCCCGGCAGATCCGCATGAGCTCTTGCGCCGTGGCAGCCCGCGGACGCGCCACCGTCCTCCGCGGACTAGCCAGCGCGAGCTTCCGCTTCCACTCCACCTTGAACGACACCTCGGGGATGGAGCCCCGGGTGGGGACCACGCGCCACGTTGGGATTACCGCGGCGGCCAGGGAGAGGAAGTGCTCGAGCGGCCACGGCGGCTTAAATTTGGCGCTGATCCCGCACATGGCGCCGTTGAGGATAACGCCGTTCCACGACATTTCGCGGCGGCGGAGCGTGATTAAAAGCGCGATTGCGCCGCCGAGGGATTCAGAGTAGAGGAACGAAGGGAGTGAGGGATCGAAGCGAGAACGGAAGTTCTCGAAGAAGGAGATGCAGTCGTCGACGACGGGGTTAATGTCGGGAATGTGAGCGATAAGGCCATCGGAGAAGCCGTGGCCCTGGTGGTCGATTGCGCAAGTTGCGAAGCCGGCCTTTGCGAAGTGGACGGCGGTGAGCTGGAGGAGCCAGCTGGACTCGCCGGTGAATCCGTGCACGACGGCGAGGGTTCCGACTATAGTAGTGGGAGGGAGAGGGGTCCACCACTGAGTGAAGAGCTTGAGACCCCTGGGATTGGTGATGAACTCGGAAGCGTGACTCACTGAGTGGCGCGCGTAGAATTCGTCTGGAGTTAGCTGCCCGAAGGGGCTTTCCTCGTTTGCCTCCGCAATTGGGTGCACCATTCTGGCTAAAATGCGCAGTGAGAGTGTAGAATTGAGCAGAGTTAGAGAGTGGTTTCTTTCACTCATACACCATCCAATGACAATGCAATACTTGTGCTATTCTTACCCCTATTTATCATATTTATTGTTACACATTCAAATAATTATTTATTTACTTTTTAATTCAATAAAAATTAACATATGTTACTTTTATTATACGTTTTTAACATGGAATTTTTTTTATTGTATAAAGGTTTCCGTATATAAATTTATCAGGTACATTTACTCGATTCCAAGTCATACATAGGAAGAAAATTTGTCGATATAAATATTTTTCAACTTCTGCTTGAATCATGTAATTGTTTACACAATATTATTTTCATTTTTAACAAAGTAGAGGTTGACTAAAATAAAATATCTTATTTGTATAGATTTTATTTTTAGGGTATATTTATGAGTAGTGGTGACTTTGGTGTGAAAGACAGCAGAAGTACAACCTATAGAGTGGAACATTAAAGTGATGTGAGAGGTGGGGGTTGAAGTTCAGCAGTTGTAGTTAATAAGGATGAGGAAAGTAGTTGGCAAATGTAAAAAAGGTGATCATCCACTTTCTGTGATAGAAAGAAAAAAAAAAGTGAAGGTCCAAGCTGAAGGCTAACTGGGCTAGAATAGAAGTGGGCTTATGTTGCAGCAGCCTGTTTTCCCTCCACTGTTGGGAACCCGAGATTATCGCTGTTCTGTAATCCAGCCTCACGCAGTACCCCCAAGTCTAGGAACCAGGAAACCTCGGCCTACGCCAAAGTCACATGGATCATTTCTCAACTTGGATTGGACAGGCCAGCAATTTTGCAAGCAAAGCCCAGCCCAACTCGGCCTCAGATATGTTCCTTCACTCTGATGTCCCCACTTGGGCCACAAGCTGACGCAACCCAGCTCGACGTTTTGTCTACCTGATCTAAACATTTATTAACATTATTATTTTTAACATCCTGCACGATACGGGACCTGTACTTGCAAACATAGATGTCAACCCTCTTTGTAAATTACCACTTACCTTCTGAAATTTGAATTTAAAGAAACAAAGTTATGCAGGATCAATGTTCATTAGTGTGCTGCTGATTGCAGGAACTCATTTTCCTATGTGCTAGAAAATTTATAGACAATACAAATAAGATGCGGAATACTCTTACTTTGTGGACTGCTTAGTTTCTTTCACGTTATTTAGGAAACATAACTAATAGGAAAAAGAAACAAAAATAAACGTGAAATATATTTCCTTCGTTTTAAAATTTTTCCATGACTCGTTTTCTTTCTAATCATGCAAATTTTGTATCTTCAAATCTTACTTAACCTTCCTCGTACTATTCACTCTTTTATCTGATCATTTGGATGCTACTTTACTTTTCAGTTCTATTCCTTAAATATTGAACATGATAATTCAAAATGGGAATTCCCTCCTTAAAAGATTCACATGCAACAAGTTCATCGCTAACAACACATTCTATCTCTTAAAGATTTTAAAGTAGCACATGCTATTGATAAATGTTTTGGTTAAATTGGGACGAGATGTCGCCTAAGTGTTGTTTCGGTGTATTAAACGTTCGTCTTGCTCTTCTCCACCGATTGGTGTATGGAGAGTGACCTGCAGAATAAGTCATAATTTGTCTCTGTAGGTCTTTAGTAATTCAATAGGGAGTAAAAGTAAATTTATCTCGAAATTAAACCCTTATTTATAGAGTTTAGAAGAATCTGGCCCATTAATTTACCTCTTAATGATCATTAATGTAAACTTTAATCACTCATCAGTAGTAGTCGTTGTAATATTAGCTGTGCATTAATTGTTCTAAACTACTGTCGAACCGAGCAGTAGTGAGACGCTATCTTATGCATTAACCACTCAGTCATGTCCATCCAGTTTGTCACCATATCTGATCAGTCAACTATAAGCCCGTAGTAACAATACATATACTTGATTCTCATTGTAACAAAACTTCCTAAATTGTCTTCTATATTATAATATTTTAAAAAAATATAAGTTAGAATAAATTTTAAGAATTAACTCCTTCGATAAATGCATATACAAATTAAAAAAAATATCTGTATTTCATCTATTGATATGCCTTTTATATATTTTTACTCTCTCCTTATATTGTATATGTTTCCACATGTAAAAATGTTTTTTTTTTAGAATTTAGTACATTATTTTTGAGATTTCACATTATTATAAAATTTTCTCCTTCAAAAACTAACACTTTAAAAGACAACAGGGAGATGTAATTAGAAATGAATATCAAACAATTAGTGAAAATTTGTGATATTAGAAAATGATATAATGTAAGTAGTAGTAGAATCCACTTAATTCAAATGTAGTAACAATTTTATAAATACTAAAATATATTTTAAATCGATTATAAAAATACCGATTTAATATGTATATATTAATATATATATATATATATATATATATATATATATATATATATATATATATATATATATATTAAATTATTTTTTCTTTTCTTCTAGCCCACTCCAAATCCCCATCGTTATCGCACTTGGGTTGTATTATCTCTTTTATTCTATTTCAATTTTTTACGTTCATTAGTTTCTATACTGTCTTTATTACTTTTACATTACACCTTTTTAAATCGTTACTAATTTAAAATTAATGTCTCTACTTCAAATGCGTTTTCCTTTTTCATGGAAAAGATGTAGTAATGAGAATGATTGGTTAAAGTGGAAGCAAACAATTCGAATAAATTTCAATTGAAAATAGCAGATATTATGTTAAGAAAATATTAAAACCTAAACTTTTATTGTTTGGTTGAAAAAATAACTTTCATATTTAAATATCGTTAAACAGAATAAACATTTGAAATAAGAAAAAAAACTACGCATTCAGATTATAAAATAATTTTACACTATCACCTAATTACAAATATTCAATTGTGATAAATTTATTACCTTTATAATAATTATTTTAAGATCATTTTAATGATAAATTATGATTAAACGGTAATATTAAGTTATTAAAGTATATGCTTATAATCAGGCGTCAATTAATATTGTAGAAATTTATAAGCGGAGTGATTTAGTTAACTTTAAGTGGACAGAAATTGTATACACCATATTATTCTTTTTTCATCAAGCAAATTAATAAGATATGATTTTATTTTATTTAAAAAGTGTTATTATATTAAGTTTTTTTTTAATAATATGTTTTTATCGGTTGATTCAATTCTACAATAAAATAATATTTTAAGTCGAACTCCATATTTTAGAGTTTAGATCTCACGTCTTAATTTACTCAAATGTTAACAAATTTTTATTGTGTATTATTAGTGTTATGTTACCATTTATGAATACTTTCAAAATATATTCTTTGGTAGCATATGGAGTAGCTGTTAAATGCTTCTTTCAAAATATCCTTTATCTGCACTTGTGTCTTGCAAACAACAATCACTAATTATTGGTCACACTCGTTGAAAATGATGGCTACGAAAAGCAAAAGAAATAAAAAATAAAAAAGGATATGCAATAACTTCAAGCAAAAGAAATATCTTCAAGTAATAAACACATCCACCCTTATATACACAACCAACAATTTAATATTTATTTGGTTTAATATTAATTTTGAAATTAATTGTCTCACGATTTTTAAAGAGTTACCATTCCTGTTAAAATCATAATTTTAGTCTCTTATATCCAATTAACAAGAATAGTATTACAAAAGTGATGACATGAAAAATTTACTGAATGTCGAAAAGAATAATTGATTATGTTTTTCAAATTTGATTTAATTAAAAACTTTTAAAAAGTAAAATAATATCAAAACAAACGAGACAAGGTAGATTATTAAGTTTGTCTAACTCTATCTTGTAATTTTTTTTCTCTATTTTAATATTATTAGAACATATAGTTAATCGTTTTTTACTTACTAAAATTATATGCTTTCAGTCCTTAATATAGGAGAATTTATAAAATACATTGATTTTGTTAAATATAAAGATAAACAATGAATGAAATTTTATAAAAATAAAAGACAAAAATATCATTTATTATATTCAACCCTCACTTTAAAAAAAAAGAAAACTATCATATTCAACAAGCCCGACATCACAAGAAAATATTGCTTATGGATAAGCATGGTAGCCATTTATATTTAAATTGACTACAACAGGATAAATTTACCTACTTATCTTGAACAGTAACAAAATTACATCTAATCTTTGAAATCATATAATTAATACAATCAATCTGAAAACTATCAACAGAAGGGATAAGTAAGATATACATATACATAGATAAATATATTAAAAAAATTGGAGGACAAAAATACTATTTTAATACTTGTACATTATCAAATGATTGTATAGATTATGGAGTTATCAAAATATTATATGCTCCTAGATGTATAACAAATAATATCAACAAGTTTTATAAAACTTAAAATGAAAAGAAATCACACACGAAGTTGGAAGAGATTATTACTGATTTTTTGTAAATAATTCACCCTATGATTAAAAAAAATTAAACAAGCTTTGGTTGGTGATGAATTTATGTTTTTAATAAAATATTAAATAAAATTGGTTGTTATAGTGAGTCGTCAGTAAAAGGAATTGTCTACAACTTTCATGAAAAAAATTACATGACACGTCAATTGTTAAACATCTAATGTTGTGATTTTAAGTGGGACCCCTCTTCTTAAAAACAATAGTTTCCCGTCTCTCAACAATTGGTTCTTGTCTACTAACAGGTGGCTGTTCTTCTCCGTCACTACGAAATAATGTAAAACTATAATCTTGATTACAGCTAAACCGTCTACTTAATAAAGAAATCTGGGGGTGCATTAATTAGCTGTTATATCATAAATCCATTATAATTATTTTATTAATGATGTTTAATATGTATAATTTAAATTTAAATTCATCCAGTACTAAATATTCATATATATTTTATTATTTTAAAATAAATATATCAACATGTCAAATGTTGTATCCGTACATCAAAATTAGTTAAAAATAATCATTATGTAAATAACTTTTTACTTATATATATTATCCGTAAAACTGTAGATGGTGTTTTTATAGTCTTGATAAAAGTTTATTCGTTTTAATA